GGCACAATTCGGCTTCGAAGGCTCTGAACGACGTTACGCAATAAGTCCAACAAGAAATGTGTGTGAAGTTAAGTTATACTGCTTCGTGCTCATTAATCATTCAGTGAGAATAGTTTAATTTGCGTTGATTCAGTGTTGTCTGTGTTGTCTATTGTTGGTATGGAACATTAATCCAAAGTAACACCTCGAATGCACATTCCAATTGTGTGTCCATGACTTCTGAAGGTAACTACATAAGCCAAATAAGCCAACGAAAGAAAAACAAAATCCAACTTCGGATCTCATAACCAGCCCAAAGCGAGAAAAAATATGGAAATATTACTTGCAGTTTGCTAGATAAAACCACCACCCGGTGGGCTAAGTTGGTTAAAAGCGTTGGTTTGTTGTGCGAAAGGCCAACAGCCACGCTATTAAACTCAGTCACGATTGCAAACTGCGTGGCAGCAATATGTGCCGTAATAGCATTTCTCCTACGATGTTTTATGTATGAACTGTAAACTGACGTGTTGTTAGTCTCAGTTGCTCCCTTATTTCTCTTAATTTGTACCTTTACTTTTAGTTCACTGGAGACAAGGACTTTGCTGTCCTAGCATTTGAAACAATGAAATATGTATGTGAAGACGCCACACTAAAGAACCTCTCGCTCTACACTCGTAATCCAGCTGGTGACTTGGTGCCTCCCAGAAAAGCAATTAAAGACCTTTGTTCTTCAGACTGTAGTGGACGTGGCAAGTGTAAGAACAGAACCTGTATATGTGATAAAGGCTTTACTGCACTGGACTGTTCTATGGAAGTACAGGCAGTACCAGAGTTGTTGGGGTAAGTAAGTGAACTAAAATGAGTAAGTAGACTAAATGCCTACTGCTACCTTCACTGGCAGATGATGAGATGAAGGGTCTCAAATAAATCGGGACCATCCCGAATTTGAAAACAAAACAAAATAAGAACTTTCCGCAAGAGACATCGTTATTGATCTTCCCTTCTCCTACACTGTTTGGAAAATCATCCAACCCAATATTTCTTTATGTTCTTAGTATCTACAATGGTGGACTCTGTGATATACGTGAACGTCCATGTAGAAAGGCGAACCTGTTGGGACAGAAGTTCATCGACTCAAACAACCTCACGTGTCACGTCAAAGAATTCAAGGTATTTATGAACAAAGGGATACGCACTATTTAAATCATATCAGGCATTTAACTTATTCTGCACCTGTATCTAATGAAAGGTCTTCCCAAGTTCTTGGTCTCCACGTGGAGTACCTGTCACGACACATGGAAAGATGATTGACATATTTGGTGTTAAATGCGACCTTCCTGAGCCACCGACGAGACTTGGTGATTATGATCACGAGGGGACCCCTGCTGCGGGGATTTTGGTCTCAGTTTCTAACGATGGCTTCAGAACAAGTGCACAACAATTAAGACA